TTAAAAAAAAACTCGAAAGAACTGCAGACACTGTCAATCAGAAACAAAAACAGAAATTGCTGGAAAAGCTCAGCAGGTCTGGCAGCACCTGTGGAGAGAAATCAAAATGTTTTGGGTCGAGTGACCCTTCCTCAGAACTGGAGTTCTGAGGTTCACTCAACCTGAATGTTAACTCTGATTTCTCTCCACAGATGCTACCATACCTGCTGAGCTTTTCCAGCAATTTGTTTTTAACTTCAAACAATCTGCTTGTTGAAAATTTAAATTTGCCTGGCAGTTAACTGCCAATCATTACTTGGCACATTCTTCATAATGTCTCTGCTAATCAGAGCCCTTGCCAACAAATCAGTACTCTCCTCTTATGTAGCCTAAATGTCAGATTTCTCCTTTAACTGATATTCCTGTGAAATGTCTTGATTATTGCAAGATGAAAAAAAAGTGTCAACAGAATGTGACTTTTTTCAAGTAATACTAGAATTCTTAACAATTTCAACATGTTGGGAATTACCATTCATCAAAAACTGCATCAGATCAGCCATATAAATACTATGGCTACACCAGCATATCAGAGGCTAGGAATTCTATGGCAATTAACTCACCTCCCTCCTCCCTATTTATGCCATGTAGAAAGAAAAAGGACAGCAGATACATGGAAACTCCAAGCCACACACCATCCGGACTTAGAATATACTGCCATTCCTTCACATACATTGGGTCAAAATGTTGGAGCTCTCTTTCCCACAGCACTGTTGTTGTGCAGGTACAATATGGACTGTGGTAATTCAATAAAATGGATTCCCAACACGCTGTAAAAAGCCATTGACAGTGGGCAACAGAGGCTGTTCTTGCCAGTGACGCACACATCTCATAAAACAATAAAAGAGGAAGAAGCAAAAAGTGATATTGACACCAAAAAGGAGAAAAAAATCATTTAAAATATTGCAAGATGTGCACAAAATAATTTACAAATTAATCCATTTTGTGTCAGTAAAAATTATCATGAATCCTTGCTAACAAATCAACTTTGCCTTTCAATTATGCTTGATCTTATGGTACTCAAAAGGGATCTGGAAATAACCACCTACCACGTGGGGCTATAATATATAGGATCTACTTCTCTAAGGCAAGAGATCATGGATTAATCTCCCATTCCAAAGTAATCAGCACACAACACAGCCTCACAGTTTAGTTCATTTGGATGATGCATAGAAAGGACAGACAGAACTCTGTTTATGTAAAAAAAAAACAGCACTACAAAAGAAAAGACTTATACATTTATCACAGGACATTCCAAAGTCACTTTACTGCCAATATTGGAAAAACAGCAAACAATTTGCACCTAGCAAGGTCAACGCTGCAATAACCACCATATAATCTGTTTGAGATACTAGTTGAGGGATGATTATTGACCAGGACCAGCAATAACTTCATGTCACTTCGTTGCTTTAACATTTTATCCAAAAGACAGCACCACCAATAATACAGCACACTCAAACCCACACTGGAATCTCAGCTCTTTTTACGCTCAAGTCTGGAGTGAGAGCCCATCATCTCTGACTGGGGAGGCAAGAGAATGTTTTATATACTTGTGGAACCAACCGCCTGCTAATGGTGGAGGTAAAATGTGCTGCCACCAATCCTCCATTCTAGATATTTTTAAAATCAAGCTTCTCAGATGTGAGAGAATAGAGTAAGTGGAATTGAAGTTAGGCTTGTAGGACCACTGCCAATGCACAACAAGAGCTGTAAATCTTTCTATCTAGCTACTTTTAAAATAAAGATTTTCAGACATGTTATGGCACACACACAGGAGGGATGAAACTCCTGGCTCAGAGGTTAGGACATTACTATTGCACCAGAACTATGCTGAGTGCAAGGGCCTAGCTAATTATTATTGGTAAAAGAATGACGTCTGGTCAGTGTCGATAAGAGTTACCTGTCTTCCAGAATCCAAGGCGGTTTATTGCATGAGAGCGACTGGTACAAGTTGCGTTGACTTGTCATCAGACTATTGGGAACCAGAAATGGCAGGTCTGTTTCCACCATTACCTTGTGAAGAAACAGGCAGTCCATCACATGGAAACCCTGATATCATCAGATTGGTGGGGCTTTCAAACCCATTACTTCATGACAGCTTTCACCTTGGTCATTTTGTGTATTACAGGACAACAATAGATCTTCAAACTCAGTTCAATTTGTCCTCTTCTGTGCTGGCCGTGGTGAGATGCTAGCATGTATGTGAGATTGATAGGCAACATTATCCCATTTCATTTGGACGTACTTTTGCAGTTGAGAGAAGGAAGCCAGACGTATAAAATAAAGCAAGTGCACAAGAAAATAATAACGGCCAGCAGAGATTTGTTAGTTTAAAAGAATGCTCAATTCTTTCCTGTCATTCGGCAATAATTCCAGCATTTCCATGACAAGATACTTTAACAGCGTCTGTGAAAAAGTGTACACTATTTAGAGATATCAGCCTTGAGGGAAAACAGTGGGGTTAAAAACAATTATTAAAAGTTATTTAATAATGTTGTTGGCTATGGCTCAATCAACAGGTAGCCTCCCCCTCACCGAGTTATCAGCCTAGACCACATATTCAATTGTCTGAACAGACACAATCTTCTGACTCAACAGTGCTGAACTCTGATAGCATGAGAAAGTGGTTAGATGCAAAACTGTATTTACTAGTCTAGTAAAAATTCAAAAAGGAAGGCAGCTAACTAATGCACATTTTTTTGGAAAGGAATGCAAGTGTAAACTACTTACTGTTTTGCTGGTGTGTTGAGTTCTGTCCTATGCAGTGTCCATTGGCACCACAGTTTAAGCAGCCTTTTTCATGTGAACATGGACAAATTTAATTTTAGATTTTAAAAGGACAGCGTGATTAACTGTTAAAGGAACAATCTCATCATTGAGGCTTCAGCAAGTAGTGACTCGAACAGAGATCTTTGGTGCAAGAATTCCATATTAAAACATATTGGGCCAGATCTTGCATTAGTGATGGCACCAAGACAGTGAACATGCTCCATCATTACCTCTTGATGACACACAGTAACTTCGAGTCTGCATGTGTACAGTTAAATATCAATATAGATATTACTTAAGAAATTGATTCTTCACAATAGGGTATGCTTCTCAAGTATCTCCAGACTGCAATCAAGTGGAAAGGCCACATTAACAGAAACATGTCCCTTTCACTTTATTTGCAGTAAACGTTATAGCAAATGTTAAAGGTTAAACGTCCATACACACTGAACAGCCGCACTGATTCATGAAAAGCTAGTTTCATATTTGTGCAATGTCAAATTTCTCCGTTAAGAGTTATGACCCTTTCAATTTCTACACGAATCCCTCTTTGGTGCTTTGAGAAGTTCTAATGGAGTGGAAAAAAAAATCAGTATATTTTATTTCCTGGTTTGTTTTCTGTGAGAGTACTTCAGTGGAATTGACTGTTGTAAATGATTACATCACCTTCTGGATCACTAGAGCTTCATTCTGCCTTGAAGCCAGGATCAAACTGATGTGAAGAATAGGGAAATGTTTGCTACAGGGATCACCAGACCTTTGTGAATAGCTTTAGAGATTTGTAGCACAGTCAATGAATCCTTCTCAATCAAAATCCACAGCAAGTCTCACAATCACTCCTCCTCTTGACAGAAGTATGAATGATGTGTCAAGTCTTGTTAAAAAGGCTTATCCTTCCTCACAAATGCTATGAACTGCATTCGAGTTTCTGAAAACAAGATTTTCTTTAAGACAATATCCCAGTGTTTTAAAAAGGAATAAAGGAGTGTAGGATGTGGGATGTCATGTTGTGGCTTTACAGGACATTGGTTAGATTACTTTTGGATTACTGTGTTCAATTCTGGTCTCCCTGCTATTGGAAAGATGTTGTTAAACTTGAAAGGGTGCAGAAAAGATGTACAAGGACGTTGCCGGGGTTGGAGGGTTTGAACTACAGAGAGAGGCTAAATAGACTGGGGTTTTTACCCTGGAATGTCAGAGGCTGAGGGGTGACCTTATAGAGGTTTATAAAATCATGAGGGGCATGGATAGGGTGAATAGCCAGGGTAGAGAAGTCTTTTTCCCAGGGTACAGGGGTCCAAAACTATAGGGCATAGGTTTAAGGTGAGAGGGGAAAGATTTAAAAGGGACCTAGGGCAACTTATGCACGTAGAGGGTGGTGCATTTATGGAATAGCTGCCAGAGGAAGTGGTGGAGGCTGGTACACTTACGATATTTAAAAGGCATCAGGACGGGTATATTAATTGAAAAAGTTTAGAGGGATATGGGCCAAATGCTGCCAAAGGGACTAGATTAATTCAGGATATCTGGTCGGCGTGGACAAATTGGATCAAAGGGCCTGTTTCTGTGCTGTACATCTTTAATGACTCTATGAATAAAGTCAACAGTTATTAACTTCAAGACAGACTAGCATCATATTAGTATCTATGCTTTTGGGGGGGAAAAAACATTTATTTTTCAAAGAAAATGGTACAACCAAAAACACTTCAGCTGAACATGGGGTGAAGGGTTTTATTATAAATTGAACCTTTACAAAAGGTGTGTGAGTTTAGCATTTGAGATTATTCTTCAAAATGTCGGGTGATGACGAAAAGTATGCATCTTTAAAATTTAAAAGGATGCAAATTTTGGAACGAATCTGCTACAAGAATATCTTGCCATTAACAGAGGTTGCCTATGTGCAGTGTATTCAATGTTGCAAAGCCGTCTGCTGTTAATCTGCACTAAATCATAATATATTTTCCAATTTTAAATGAAGTAACCCACAGAGTTAGTCAATCCTTGACGAATGACTGATTATTTTAGACTATTATCATTAACAAGAGAGAATGAATCCTAAATGCTATGTCATCAAATCATGTAGCAAACCATAACCACTTTGCTCCCACTCCCACACAGTGAGAAGAAAAAAAAACAGCTTTAAAACGGAGATAGTATATAACTTATTTTACTCACGCAGAAATGGTACTTAGAAGTCTTTAGAAAGGTTGGAAATTTAATTTCATAATGTCAAGTTGTTAAATACATGTGGTTATTTATACAATTGTAACATTTGCTAAGTTTTAGTTACACTTACACCAGTCTTTTTGTAAAACCCTGTTCCGTTCATCCCACCTCCCCACAGAAAATAAAACATAGCCCAAATAAATTACCCCACCAAAACTGGCATGAGTAGTGATTACAACTAGTTTAAATTACTCATCAAAAGATGCAACTAATATACGAAGGCTGGTAATTTTAAAAATTAGACTCTTAAAAAAAGAACTAGAAATAAAAGACCAACTTCACACCAAATGTGTCTATTCAGTGCATCACTTGGCCATTCTTTATGCATGTGTGAAAGGGCCTGTGAAAAACTTTTGTTTGAAAACTGCAGCTCCCAGTGATCTGTGCTTCGCTAAAGGAACTTTACACATGTAGTCTCAATCTCAAATCACAACGTAACCTCCCAAAGCTTTCTGCCAATATATAGTTTTGTCAAGTACCTATAGCTGGATTACAATTTCCCAAATCTGTTGGTATGCAGACAGCTCCAATCTCAACACCTCTAGCACATGGAGGATTGATGCAAAAGAATTAAGAAGCTTTTGTTACAAATTAGACCCTCCAGATCTCTCTCTTCATCATCAAGTATATGTATATACATTCCCATGTACAATGCAAACTTAGGAACGAGAGAACAAGCTCCTCTCAAAAAAATGCAACCTGGCTGGGAAAATTCCATTAGCTGGGCCCAAAGTAATGGGAGTGTTTTCCTATAAAAGGTTACCCAAACTACCTAATCCAATTTCTTTACCATTAGGGAGAAAAGCTCATCGTTGATCTGACCGGGCTACAGAGAGAACATAAACTTATTACATTTTTAATAAAATATTTGGTGACACATGCTCCCCATGAATTTTAAATCAGAGCCCACACTTTCAAAACGGTAAAAGGTGTGGAACATACACAAACATGGCCACAGATCAAAGGCTCTCCTTCGCAGTATTCTGCAACAATGGTCATTTCATTGCAAAGCATAAGTGCAATTGAGTTAACAACAAATTGTAACAGTCAATTTTTTATATATGGCAAACGTTTGAGTTGATTTTACTTCAATCAAGCTGACGGACTTTGTTTTTTGAACAGTTAAGTTATCCAAATAAGCCGGTGAACAGAAAATACTGCATTCTGGTTTTCTCTTACCTAATAGAAATGACCTAGCAACAAGACAAAAAAAAAGTCACCACTTGTGAAACGGGATTCACTAAAGGTCAATCTGTGCAGAATCTTGCAGATCTCTCACCTCAGAATAGCTATGAAAGTTTAGCCAGCATTCAGAGCAATGATTAATATAAAATTGATGCAAGATGCCTACGTATGAACAGAACATCGACTGAATGTAGCATCGGATATGGAGGAAGGGTCCCATCACCAAACAGAAGCTGAACCAACCAATGTATAAAATAATTCATAGCAGTTACACAAGAGAAATGAGAGACTAAGTGTTAATTTTATAATAACATGAATGACAAAAGTGGTCTCATCGGGCTCTGTGACAGAGAAGCTATGCCCACAGGGCAAGTCCAGCTTGGGCTGACTCAGGACCAGGCCCATAGCTACAGCCAGGCCTGTGCCAACAGCCAAGGTCAAAATAAATGGCCCATGTGCCTTGATGTGAAAGCACTTTGGAAAATCTTCGTACATTTTAAACCACTTTACTTAACCCATACAGGGAGACAATACACCTGCTAAATATGTTCCAGCACTGGGAGCGTCAGAAAAACAGGAACCAGGTGATTTACAGTGAGCAACTCAAGATGGGTTCAAACTGAACAAGAACAAAAACAAAAACAAAAAAAAACAAGCTCAGAAGAAAAACGTACCACATTCAGTTCTTCATTTCTATAAAAATAAAGTGAACCTTTGGGATAGATCATCTCAATTAGAACATTAGCATAGAGAAAATCACACAAGTTTATGTACCAAAAATCCTCATGCAGAAGATAGAGTTCTTCTTGCAGTGTCAATCATGAACAGAGGGATAAGTCTTGTAGGGTGGATATCCAGTCCTTTATATATAAACTTGGTATGAAACCCACCCAATTCTCATTGGAAACGAAGAGGTAGAGATCCCAGATGTACATTTGTACAGTATGTAGAAAACAAAGGAAATTGAAGTACCTATCCAGCTTCTATTCTGGGCTAGTAAATAGGTTAATACCCATTATTTTAATCTTTATGGTCATTTAATCAAGACAACAGTTTCTTAGTTTAAGAAACAGCACTCCAGCATAAACTAAGTTTAAAAATTCATACCTTGCTACATTTAATGCTGGCTTTTCACTTATAGAAAAGTATTTGACAAAGTACTTTATATATAATACATTCCAGCATTAAAACTCATGCCATCTGCACTATACTGCGTGTGTTTGTAAAAATGAGGCTGTCATTCAAGCCCATCTTCCCTCAAGAAACTAAACTCATGTTTAAACTGGTTTAAAAATAAACGAAAAAGTAAAGTGGCACAAGAGTACCCACAAAACAGCGTGGGCTTCTCAACAATCGGATAGGCTTCTCCCCATCGCAACGGAGCAACAGTGAGGGGAGACGCCAAATGCGGAGCTCCTGGGTAAGATTAAAAAGAGCAGGATGGCCACCTAGTGATCAGCCCTAGCAAGTGCCTGGAGAGAGAGTTCAGACCGCGGGTGTGTTTGTCCTGGCAAAACCAAGATTGAGTAGAAAAAAAAATAGGAATTTTGCATTTATTTAGACAATGAAAACAAACACTTTTGCAAAATGCATTCTCATCTTTTTCTCCCCAAATGGTCCTGATATTTCTTGGCTTCTACGCAACTGTTTCTGTGAAAGCAGCACAGATATATAACCATTGATTACTAAGCATCTAAGAATATGCCAACATTCTTAACAGTAGTATACACCTATAGAATTTGCACAGAATTGTTCAGAGAGAGAAAACAAACTTGAGTCTTCTGTTCACACGATGCAAGTGCTTTTTATCCCCCCTCTTTCCATCAAGAAACCGTGCAGCAATGACTCCAGTCACTCCATCATGGTCCAGAACACGTGTGGAAGTCTTCTCAGCATCAAGATGCTTCTCTGTTCTAATCACAACCAAAAAAAAAATCCGAGCAGCAAAGGACACACAGAAGCAACCATCCCCCAAACATCCCCTGACACACAAAAGCCAAACGTCACTGGTGAAATTTGTTGGCATCACATTTGGTATTTGTGCTTCATGACAACGCAGCAGCCTTATGAATAAATAGTGATCACTTCACTGCCACCACCTCGTACCATCAGGACTCTGTTCAAGCCCTCAGTCAGCACCTCCAGAAACTCCATGTCTGTCAGGTTTTAAGTCAAGGGTATACACAATCCTTGAGAAATTGGTCAAACACTAATACTCATTGAAAACGATAGAAGGCAAGCTGTGATCACGGAAAAACCAAAGAAAGGGATTTTTAAAAAAATATTTATTCACAGGTTGAGGGCGTCACTGGCTAGGCAGCATTTATTGCCCATCCCTAGAGGGCAATTAAGACTCAACTACATTGCTGTGGGTCTGGAGTCACAAGTCAGTCAGACCAGGCAGGGACAGCGGTTTCCTACCCTAAAGAACATTAGTGAACCAAATGGGTTTTCCCAATAATTGACAACGGATTGATAGTCATCAGACTCCTAACTCCAGATTTTTTTAATTTACTGAATTCAAATTCCACCATCTGCTGTGGCAAGATTCGAACTTGGGCCCCCAGAACATTATCTGCATCTCTGGATTAACAGTTACGCAATAATACCAATTAGCCGTCACCTCCCCTGATACAGGATATTTGAATAAACTGTCCTTTAACACTTAACAGTATCCCATAGACACCTTGATCAATCAGAATTCAGGCCTGTGCTTTTTCCCTGCATTTTATAGCATATTCCAACATGAATTCGACAGTTTTTGGAGACCCCCAAAAACATTACAGAATCAGACTGAAATGACATCAACTCTTGCTCATTTTCATGAGCATTTCCAGTGTAATTAAAAAAAAAAGACAAGCTAAAACGGCCCACAGAGAACCGGACTGGCTGTTTTAGTGCACTGCAAGAGATCAATGTATTTAAATGTAAAAGTGCCTTTATAACACATACTCTCTCAATTAACAACTTGCTTAAATTCTAACCACTGAAAGGCCATCAAGTCGGACAACAAACAGAAATTAATATTCAAGAGGAGCTCTATATTATAACCAAATGTGGTTAAATGTTCTTACTGGGCAGAGCTACTATCTCCTGAGAGGTGTCGGACAAAGAGAGGTTAACAAAAAACAACACAATATTCCCTTCCAGAGAAGTCATGAGGAGAATTGCCTTTATGACACTAAATGTCTTTTAGGGAAAGAAACTGCCATCCTTATCTGGTCTGGCCTACATGTGACTCCAGACCCATAGCAATGTGGATGACTTTTAGCTGCCCTCTGCGCAACCAAGATGCCCTCATCCTGTGAATGAATTTTTTAAAATAATTATTTTACACCTAGACCTTTATCTGCACACCCTTTGCCTCATCTGCAGAAACCTGACACCTTTAAAACAGACAAAAGAAATTCATGTCTGAGCTGCCGAATCAAAGTCTACGCTCTGAGTCAGGAAATAAAACAGCTCGATTTCTCATTTATAAAGTCAGACTCTCCCTTTATTGCTTGTCAACTCAGAAAGGAGGTCATTGAAGTCCTTGAAGAGTTAATATGCCCATGAATGGGTCATACCCAATGTATCTGGTGGTGCAACAAAATAAAAGATTTTTTGACGAGAATTTATCTTGTTATTAAGCTCTAAACATCATAGCTATTTTGAAAAAGGAGAAGCAAGTACAGTTTTGCAACAGAAATTAAATGTCCAAGGAGAGTAAATAATTAAAATTTGGATATCTGAAGCTAGGAAGGGAATTGGAATTGTATTTTTAATTCATTCATGGGATGAGGGCACCACTGGCTAGACTGCCATTTACTGTCCATCCCTATTTGCCCAGAGGGCAGTTAAGAGTCAACCATATTGCTGTGGGTCTGGAGTCACATGTAGGCCAGACAGTGACGGATGGCAGTTTCCTTCCCTTAAGGATACAGTGAACCCGATGGGTTTTTCCAACAATTGACAATGGATTTATTGTCATCATTAGATTCTTAATAAATACAAAAAAAATTCCAGATTTTTATTGAATTCAAATTCCACCATCTGCCATTGCGGGACTCGAACCTGGATCCCCAGAACATTACCTGGGTCTCTGGATGACGTGCAGGTGCTGGTATCGGACTGGGATGGACAAAGTCAGAAGTCACATGACAGCAGGCTAGAGTCCAACAAATTTATTTGTAATCACTGACGAAGCAGCAGCGCTCCGAAAGCTTCTGACTGTAAACAAAACGGTTGGACTATAACCTGGTGTCGTGTGACTTTTGACTTGGTCTCTGGAATAATAAGCCTGTAATAATACCACTAGGTCATCGCCTACCTGAATGATCAAGAGTGGAATGAAACCAGATCTCGCTACGAGATAAGCTCAGAAAGGGAGGCTGGGGTATTTGGTGTAGAAGAAAGTGACAGGGGTGTAGAATCAGTGTTTGTGGGGTAAGGACTTGGCAGAAAAGTTTGGGTTATGGCCAAGGAAATAGGGGTATGAACCAAGTGAAGCAGAATAAACAGACTCTAAGTTAGTGACAAGGTTCTCAAATGATTTCGTTACATTCGCTAGAAGTTGGAGGGGGAACTGATGAGAAGATTAATGAAATGCTGGACAGTTCAGAACCTTCTTTGGGATCATTTGGTCAACAGAATGCAAAATAAGTGACTGAGAAGTCAAGGGCAGAGAAAAGATTAAAGCAATTCTCAGGAGTGAGAAGAGCACTGCACAATGTACTGCGTGAAGCAGTTTTGTCCAAAAGGATAGCCCGAGCAGTGAATACTAATGCATATTACAAATAGCACTCAATTCTACCCACAGTGTTCGTGTTTCTTTGTAAAGCACCAAGGGTAACAGCTGAAATGAGAAGGATACAGTTTTCATCTCCTTGTCTGTTCTTGGGGGGACCTGGCATGTTCAGTAACACAAGTCTGGCATCCTGGGATCTGTTAACAACGACTTCATTGAGCTTCACTGCTGTGTGCATCCTCCTAACATTGGACTGATTCCTGAAGGAGGAAAACTTGATTCTTGATAAACGCATGACTTAGACCAGATGACAGGAAGAGCAGTACAACAAAGTTATCATCTACTTAACCATCCTAACTTGATTACATTAAAAAGGAAAAGTCACTAAGTTTAATTGATCATGCACAGAACAAAGAATGCATTTCGAAAAACTTCATTCATTTAGCACAATGGGAAATGAGGAAGTTGATCAGCCTTTTCTGTACAGCTTTTTTACTGCAGTAAAACATGAGCCAGACTGGGTAAGGGGTGGCATGATGCCTTTGCCAAAAGGATATTAAGGAATCATGCAAAGCATATCCAGATTTCAGACATCTAAATCAAAATACATTCAAGCACAGTTAATCATTGCCTACCATTAACCCCACGCAACACCAAAACAGCATTATTGTGATGTGAAAACCTTCAAGATCTGTGTCATGCATACAAGTTCCATGTACAAAACACATGCACGAGTAAATATTTGCTAGTCCTTATAGCCCACACAATCCAAAAGTTTCAATGTTTGCTTAACCTAAAAGGCTACCATATTAAAAGATTAAATATTATAATTTTTTTTGAGAGGGAGCCCAATTGTGCAAGATCTACCACAGATTGGATGTATTAAAGCTTCTAACGAAAAATATTTTGTTCTGAACTAAAAGGTAAAAATACTACTTGGAAATGGAGATAGACTCTTAACAAAAAAATATTATTTATCATTTCTTCATCATGCTATTGCTTAGTGAACGGAAAAGGATATTCTCATTTTAAAAAGGGGACTTATCCCATGGCTTCATTGAACAAGTTCTGAGGAAGGGTCACCGGACCTGAAATGTTAACTCTGTTTTCTCCTTCACAGATGCTGCCAGACCTGCTGAGCTTTCCCAGCAACTTTGTTTTTGTAAGTGGCTTGCTAGATTGTTTCAGTTGGTTCTTGCCAGACAACTACACAGTCTTTCCCATCCAGCGTCCTGCTATAGAACAATACTCTCAGCCTCAGTGCCCAGAGATTAGGGAGGAGAAAAATGAATGAGAAAAAGTCAATAAAATCACTCAGTTTCCAGACAATCAATCAATCAGTCTGCTCCCTTGAGGCAGGCATGGATATAAGGTGAAGGCAGTTTGTCCCATAGTGTGAGACCACTGCTTCATTGAGACATGCATAATAATGGGTCAAAGCATTGCTCCAAGCAGAAATCTGGTCTTCAGCCACATGGTGATTAGTGATGTCTGGTCTTTTGAGTTTGGACCCTCTCTACAAGTAACAGATTAGTTAACAAGCTTAGGTCAAAGTGATAGATTTTAAGAAGCATCTCAAAAGAAGGAGACAGAGAGTTATTTAGAGATGGAATTCCAGAGCTACTGCCTAGATACCTGAAGTTACTTCCATCAATGGAGGTGTAAAGAAAACTAGAGATTCCCACAATGTACAGGTCAGAAGTGGTTACAGATATATTGCTGAAAGAGAGACATTTTATGCAGTTTTGTCTAGCACTCACCAGTACAGTTCACAAGAAAGTAACATTTATGCCTGTGTGAGAGGAGAATGCTGATTAGTTGGCAAGTGGATCCTGACTGGTAGGTGTTTCCATGAAGAGTTCACTAGTTAATGATGACTGACAGTTAACTGCCATGCTTTAAAATTTGAACGAGACACATTGGTCAAGTCTTGCTCTGAGAAGTGAACCAGAGAATTACTGCCAATTATTTTGTTGAGTTGAAACAGATGCAGATGCAGTGCTTCCTTCCTGTTTGCAAAGAACAGGGCCCTGTGGTATTTTATTCAACTTCTAATACATCCAATTGCACAGTGGTGCAAACCTGACCACCTGTCCTAATTAGTGTTAGGATTATTTAGCAAATGTTGTCCAATCGTGGCATAATATCTAATGTTGGATAGTGTGTTGCAGGTTTTACAAGCATGTGCTGGTTAGGTACGTTCAGTATGTTGCTTCTTGCATAACCAAAAAGGATATGCTGTTTGATTGAATCAGTTGGCACTAAAGACCATATACCACATTATTCAGCTGTGTAGTTGGTAAAATGAAGTTTTGGCTTACAGTCGCATTCTACTAGTAGCAAACACTTGTGTTACTAATGCGTAGTAGAGGCATGACAGAATTAGCTTCACCCATTGCTTTGAGACATCTTAGCCATCTAATGAAATTTGAGGTAGAATGGGCACTTTTCAGGAACAGAGGTAATGGCCTTAGACCCATATGAATTTGCATGATATACAGCAAGAATGATCCAATCAATATAGCCTTTATCTCACAAGATGGCTTTGATGAACCCTATTTTGGTATCATGCTTGTACAGTGAACAAATGGTTAGGGACCTGTTAACAAGGTAAGGCCAATCTTATACCATGTCAAACCGTAGGAATGCCAATGTTTATACTGACTAGTAAAAGTAGGCTTGCAGTTGACAGCAATAGAGAAGCCGTTGGCCAATTTCTCAACAAGGACATCAAAGAGGGGGACATCATTTGACTTCTATTTCAAATGACAAATTTCAGCACAAGATGGAACCCATTAAGACATGCAAGGAAATTCTTATATGTAGATTCAAATATGGTAAACATATCATACCAGCAATATGCATGGGGTAGGAGGTTAAATGTTACACCATCGCAGACATTTCCGACACACACCAAAGATGTCTACAAGAACTAGGAAGATGGAGATCCTAACACCATCTATTTGGGCACTGGGTAAAATCATCGTTAACTGGTGCATTCTCCATGGCAACATCTGTACCAGAGTCCAATTGCCAATAGATTAACGGAGTCCTCACGAATAAATATTATTTTCCCTTTACATTAGTATTTCTTGCAAATTGTCCTAATGAATGCAAGTTAAAAAGGTCTCAGAAATCTGTCTGTTTTTGGAATCAGTCAACTTCTGCGCTACCAAATGACTATTTGATACAAATATTGTCAGGTATACAAAGCCATAAAAAGGACATGAAAACAGATGGAGAATTATAATTTTAAAGCATTGCTTGACTGGGAGCCAGCATAGGTCAGTGAGCAGGACTTAGTGAGAGCTGTGGGTTGGATGAGCTCCAGTTTATGGAGGCAGTAAGAGGGAGAGAGACCGAAACAGCATGGGTGACCACTGGCAGAACCAGCTCCTGATCTGGTCATTCCTTTGGTCAATACTCGGTCACTCAACAATAGTTGATTCAAACATCTGGGAAATCTTGAAAGTAAATTGAAACATACGGACTCTGTATGGAGCTGCAGTGGATATCACATTAATATCCAGACTTGAATATGCAAATTATTTAGAAATAAACAGAGAAAACAATTTTAGTATATTAAAATGTCCAAATTGAATTAGTGCAAACACAGTTAGCCCTTACTCTCTAGAATAATTTGAAGAGAGAGCAAATGCGCAGTTTGCAGTTATTGAAGCTTTTGGAGAAAACCTCGTGCTGTTAAGGACAAATCTACAAATACAAAACACACAAAAGGAGCACAGATTAAATTCGAAGTAAAACGTGACTTACAGATTTCCCCATTCTCTGAAACAACAGAGAGAAAGAAAATGGCAGTTATTGCATGTTCAACATTAAGGCTGTTTGTTCCCAATTCCAGAAAATCAAGCAACGTAGGAAAGAATATTACATTTCTAAAGTACTGTATTAAAAATTCATGAGCCACGATAATGCAATTTACTGATTTTACAGTAACTCAGTCTCCTCCCAATGGTTTTCTGGCACAGCTAATGCTTGGTTTATTGTGATTCACACGCATCCTTGTTTGACAATGTTATGACAAAACTAGCGAGTACCAACATGTTTTCCAAAACAGGCAGATTTAACTCGGGAGGAGTTGCTGAGTCAGCAGCAGTGGTGACTAGTCATAGTAGCCTTTCCCACTGGTTAACTACCATTGTTCCACCTCAAAACAGGCAAGAAACAGGCAAACCAGCAGGTGAGGACTGGTTAAACAAGCATCTCAGTTTAGACAGAGTCTCACATAAAGGGAGGGGTGGGGAAGAAAGATCGTAGGATAGCAGGGAAACCAGAATGTTCCTTATACAGTCTGAAAGGCTTGTTGGCAAGACTGTAAAATCTCAGGAATGGGGACTGTATCTGGGGATCAGTCACACCAAGAAAATCCACCCAATTCCAGCCCCACCCAGTGTTAACATCTCCTCTTCTCTTGTCTATAAAATGATTCACTTACAAAATACCATGTTTTGTTATGGACCAGATCAGACCCCTACAAAATATCTGAAGGTAGCCTAGACTCCAATCTTTCCTTATTTTAAAGGCAAATGTAACATGCTGTGCTCCAGATGCAATTTGATTAGTCAAACTACTGTGTTAAGCAAAATATAATTTATTTAAACACACAATATTTAAAATACAACACAAGAAAGAAGAACTTAGAGTAACTTAACTCTATTGAAAAACATAACAGAATTGTAGATAATAACAATTACTAATTAGGGGAGGTGATGGCCTAGTGGTATTATCATCAGACTATTAATCCAGAGAAGCTGGTAATGTTCTGGGGATCTGGGTTTGAATCCCACCATAGCAGATAGTGGAATTTGAATGCAATTGAAAAAAACAAAATCTGGAATTAGGAGTGTAATGATGACCATGAATCCATTGTTGATTGTCAGGAAAAACCCATCTGGTTCATCAATGTCCTTTAGGGAAGGAAACTGCCATCCTTATCTGGTCTGGCCTACATGTGACTCCAGATCCACAGCAACATGGATGACTCTTAACTGCCCTCTGGGCAATTAGGGATAGGTAGTAAATGCTGGCCCAGCAATGACGCCCATATCCCGTAAGTGAATAAAAAATATTAACTGTTCCAACATAGTAACATCCATAGGTAAAAAGACAAATTCAGAAAAACAGCTTTGTCTCACAAGTAACCCAGCAGCAAAGAGAAACCCCAGCTCCTAGCTGTCACCGAGAGAGGGAAAAGATAGCTTCTACTTCTTCAAACCCACAACAACTGCTCAAAGCTAAACCTAAAAAAAAACTAAACAAAAGAGAAGAAATCGTGGTCTCTGAGAGCCGGCCACACCCATCCAGGCTGCTTCTATTGTTCCAACTTTTTAAAAAGCCCTCAAGGTTTGTACAAGCTGTTTTTAGTGGTTTCAGTAGACTATTCCTCACCTCTGCCTTACAACCTGTCATTTTAAAAAAAAGACAAAATACCCTCAAAGCCACAGCACTGTCATACTTTAGAGCACCCGTATCTTAAAAAAGGGTCCAAGCTGTTGCACGAGTTCATTTTTTGTGCTCAGTGACTTTTTTTTTTAAAAAATTCATTAATTGGATGAAGTTGGCACTAGCTACACCAGTATTTATTGCCCAGCTTCTGGCCAAGTAAGAGTCAACCACATTGCTGAGAGTCTGGAGTCACCTGTAGGCCAGATCAGGTAAGGATGGCAGTTTCCTTCCCTAATGGACTTTATGAACCAGATAGACTTTTCCGACAATCTGTCATCGTTAGACTTTTAATTCTTAGATTAAAATTCCACTACCTGCCGTGGCAGGATTTGAATCCAGGTGCACAGAACATTACCTGGGTCTCTGGATTAACAGTCCAGCAATTATACCACTAAGCCATCACCTTCTCTTGTAATTAACTGCATTAACTGTAAATAACTAATTAGAATACCTAGAAATATCTCCACACAGTGAAACACATCAGGATTTATTACTAAGTCGGCTTTTAATATTGAGGTATTCAACCGTCCCATACAAACAAACAAAAAACAGGTAGAATAGTAGGCCATTCGGCCCTTCAAGCTTGCTCCGCCATTCAATATGATCATGGCTGACCATCCCAACATAACCCTGCTCCTGCTTTCTCCCCATACCTTTTGATTCCTTTAGCCTAAAGACCTATATAAACTAACTCCTTGAAAGCATTTGGTGTTTGGCCTCAACTGCTTTCTCTGGCAGAATTCCACAGGCCTGCCACTTTCTGGGCGAAGAAATCTCTCCTGCCCTGACAAAACAATATACATCTGAAATCTGAGCCTTCCCATCCCCTGCAATAGGGTCCAAATTGAGTTGAACTCATGCATTACAATCCAAGCATTGAACCCAGGGCTTTTTGATCATTCTGATTCAGCCCATGAACGAATACACGCTCAAAAGAGTCCAATTTGGATGTTTACTCAACAACTCAAGCTTTACATGACATTTAAATTGCAATGAAGTAAAACTGGAACATCCATATCTTTAAATCGACTGATAAAAGCTGTCAGTGGATAAGGCTGTATGTTATTTTAGACAGGAATCATTCAGGACTTGTTTTACTTGTAGTTTTGTTCATTAAGGTTATCATTTGACAGCTAGGCACAGGGCAGCATAAAAACTTAAGTGGCTCACTTTAGGCTTTTAACAGTGGGAGCCTACTGCTCCTACTATCTTGAGGGTGGCACAGTGGCTAGTGCTGTTGCCTCACAGTGCCAGGGACCTGGGTTCGATTGTGGCATCAGGCAACTGCATGGAATTTGCACACATTCTCCCTGTGCCTGCATGGATTTCCTGCAGATGCTCTGGTTTCCTCCCTCAGTCCAAAGACGTGCAGGATATGTGGAGTGGCCATGGTAAATTGCCCATTGTATCCAGGGATGTGCAGGTTAGGTGGATTAGCATGGAAAATGCAGAGTTACAGGGACAGAGTCTGGTTAAAATTGTCCTTTTGGAGGGTTGGTGTGGACTCAATGGGCCAAACTGCCTGCTTCCACACTGTAGGGATTCTATGATTCTATGACTGCCCTGTTCTAGCAATCAGGCCTCAAATTGTGCTCACATGAGGACATGTGAGATGTCCATTCTGTTCCTCTGGAAGCTCCCTTTGTCCATTCACTCTGAATATGCATCAGCTGATGGGGTTAACAAGCAAGTTTGAACTTAGGTATTCCCTGACTCGAGAAATTCTCAAAAACCGTTCTGTGAACCAACCTAAACAGTTCTCAGAACAGGTGTGAATTTAATACCCATTTCAGATTATACTTTAAAACTCACTTAAACAGGAAAGAGCTATGACCAATGAGGCTGAACACAAAACATAATAGAAAACAACTTACGGTTTCATGTTAAAAATATCTCGCACACCTTCTGGCGATAAAGATTCTTTATTTTTGTTCTTTTCTGCAGTAATTTTCTCTTTGGTCCAGGTCATGTGTACTCCTTCAGGAGGAACTGCGAGCCGATCAGTGCCAGAGGAGTGGCCCGCTGCATTCCGGTCATGTATCAGCTGGGCCTAAAAAAAAAACAAGCCCGAAAGGAAACAACAATCACCAAATCAGTACGAGCCCAAATCGTACAGAACCATGTGAAAAATAGTCAGTCATTCAACTGGCCTTCATGTGGGCCAACATCACCAAAATTATGCTTAATGCCATTCTTGGCTGGCCAGGAGGTTCGATGACATCAACACCGATTACAGACTGGCTGCATGAGGTCCAACCCACTGTCTTTGCAAATTTAAGATTCAGACTGACTTAGACCTCCTTACTTAGCAAATTCAGAGATATACCATGGTAAATTTATTTATTTCAGATGGCATAAGACAAAAAAAAAAGTTACGCTCTCATCCTCGGACAGAACTTCCATCGATCTTTTCAAGCTTGCTTATCCTCTTGGCTTTCCACTTACACCAATCACGGGTTTAACTTACATCATCTTTTCTGCCACTTGGTTCTCTAATATCTCACCTTTGCCTTGCCTTGGATCCTGCTTTAACCTTATTGCATTTCCAACCTTTTCTAGTTCTGATGAAAAGTTCTTGATCTCAAGCATCTCTATCTGTTGAGCATTTCCAGCATTTTGCTTTTATTGCAATTCTAGTCAATTATTGTACATTGGGTAAAAAGCTTTCAAACACATAGCATTGAAAAGTTTTGAACATAGAAAGGTATAGCAACAGAACTCAGGAACTGCAATTTTATTTGATTTTTTTTGACAGATACGTGACTTACAGAAGAAGTGATTTAACAACATACGAATACTAATCGTGATGCGAAAGCAGTGAAATGAAGGTTTTTGCTGCAGTATTTTGAACTTTGAAAATTCATAACCTTATAATGACTGACTGTAGATCACTCCTGTTGATGCCGATTATTTGTAATCAGTCAGTCTTAACAGTATCAGTGTCAGTGTGGGACGCAACAGTACAGCGATTAGAAACAGTCTGTGTTGAGCTGTGACATACAATAAAGATATATCTGTCTGCAAACTTAATGTTTTACTGCTGGATGATAATTCCCGGTAATTCAAATATATATTCAAACAGAGAAAAGGCAAGGAAAAGGGAAGAGATGGATGGAGAAAGATTCAATTAGAAAACAATCTTTGATAATCTGGCAATTCTATTTTGCCATCTTCGTCCCTGTAGCAATAATGGAATTGTTGACTAAATCGATGACAAATCCAATCTTTTTTCAATTACTCAACAATTAATCCAAACATGAGGTTGGGTGAAAAAAATACACATTGGGGACATTATTGGGAACAAATGAGCTAATGACACTTGTTCTTCCCTAGCTCACTACATCTACCACATCACCTTTACAAATTCCTCACATACTGGATCTCTAAGTGCTGTTTGCTGAAACTAATTTTTAATATTTTCCCCCTTTATTATATTATTGTGGAAAGACTTATTCTGAACTTTTATTTCTTCATTTTTCTAAATTATCACTACAATGTTGTACTTTTGGAAGTCTGTAATGTTGAACTTCTTATTTCTTTATTTTTCTAACTCCCCCAGGTATTTGTACTCAAAAATCTGTACCTAGGTACTTTTCTACCCAAGATGGTGCCATAAGTTGCAACTTGTAAACTTTTCACTACACTCATGTGAGTACATGTGACAATAAAGCTAATTCTTATTCAAAAAGCCAATTCAAATTCAAAGTTGAATGAATCAGCACTTAGGGTGGAAATCTCCCATTTGGACTTGTGTTATATCAAGTGAGATGCATGGTGCCCACTTCATTGTGGCTCAGAACAACTTCTCTCAGAACCTTCTGTTCTTTACCTCATCAGTTATGCAACCAGGCTCTTGGACACCTTCCCTTGGGAAATCAGGCAGAAATGCTCACCACTGCCAGGACTTTTGGTTTTCCCCTCCTCTGGCACCATTTTTAAAGGCCAGCTGCACATCACTCGCACCGTGGCACTAGACCCTCAACACAAAACGCATGGCCCAGTCACTCCAGGCATCAGGGATAGGGGCCTTGCAATGTTGGGAAACTGGGTGGGGAGGATAGCCCCTTCGCCAGCCAACTATCACAAGGGGCCAAGGCTCCAGACTAAGTCAGCCTCGACGAATTGCAGCCCTGGTCAGTGCTGTGTTCTGCGTGCAATGAAGAGTGCAGGAAACAAGTCAATGATCTTCTGTGCTCTGTAAGGATAAGTTCCACCATGTGCTGCCTCACTCTCAAGGCTACCACTGATCCCAATTCTGCCAATCCACATGCTTCTTACCAAGGCTCGGGAACGTTCACTATTACATGCATCATGTCCACTGGGTGGATCTCACCCACATCCTCCTAAATGAATAATCTCTCTTGCCCTCTGTCCTTCTCACTCGTTGGAGCCAACTCACCACCTCTCTGCTCACGTATGACCAATAGCTGCCCTTTCATCGTGCGCATTCCCTCTGGTCACCTCGTTGCAGCAAATACTGGCCCATAACGGAGCTATAGGGTCCAAGACCACCAGGGGGAAGGAGAGGGCATTATAACATTAACTGTCTGCAAGGTAGTGCAAGCACCAAAGAAATTGACAGCAAGGCCGATAGATACAGGGTCTTGCCACTCTCCTGTATAGGTCACCTTCACCTGCTGCTTCTGGAAGTTGCTATTGAAGCAGTAATCATGATCTCCTTCTATGCTGTCTTTGGAATAACGCCACAATGGCTCCAGCCATGATGTTTGCCACTAGACCTGTACACAGATCGTTTGTGGGGAACGTCAGAAAGGTGACGCCAATTTACTGAAGGAACTTTTGAATTTATTATAGTGAAGCTTTGAGTCGCTGCCTCGCAGTGTGGCAGGGAGGCAGCTTCTCAGGGAAGTAATTGCCATGGTTCCATGTGGAGCTCGGCGGTATGTAACCTTGTCCAACTGGACGCTGCACAAACAATGTTTTTCTGGCCAGTAAGCCACTAATGATAGCACCTGGCAGTTGCAAAGTAGCAATTTTCTGTGCTTGGGTGACGCTGGAATGGGAACTTGAAGCTAATATGACATGGAGGCCATAATTTCTAATGTAAATTCTTGGAGAATAACTGAGCCGCGGACCATGTGTAGATTGAAGGCGACTGCAGCATTACCCAGTGACTGACTACACTCCCCCTTAGCCCAGCTCCCCATGACTGTCACACATGGCCATTCAGGTGAGGTACGCATAGTGTGCTCACCACAAGCTGTTGGCACGCGCCACCAATGTGATGTTGATGTAGCACTGTGCCAAACAGTGACGTGGCCACTTTCTTGAATGATTAATGTTCCCTACCATCACACAGTGTCTGCCTCTATCTCTCCTGAGCCCGCATTGCTTGTTAGTGTGGAGGGGCTGGGACCCTGCAGCTGAACACGGAGAAACCCTGTGCACTAATGAAGCAATGCCAGCCACACACAAGCTGGCAGGCCTTAAATCAATGTTGAGGTCAGTGAGTGTACTCTAATGTGATACAGAGATTGGCAGCTCTGAGTAAATGCGAGGATGAGTGAGCACCTAGAAAGCATGCTCGATGATTCCTGTTTGGATGCACAGAATGCATGCGGATCCCTGAGCCCAAAGCAACCAGGCAAGTCACACATACCTGGAGCTCCAGAGCAAGGGGTTGAAGGGCTGAGGTATTGTTGATCAGAGAGCAGCCAGGACAATATGGGGAGGTTGGTGGTTTGCCAATTCCGACTTGTGTGGACAAAGCATCGAGGAGGATGGGGGCCATAGTGCGTGTAGGATGTTGTGGTGAAAAAGCATTTGCATGATGCAAGCTGCAACCGTAGGGTAACACAGTCGCCTCACAGCGCCAGGGAACCAGGTTCAATTCCAGCTTCGGGCAACAGTCTGCACGGAGTTTGCACACTCTCCCCGTGTCTGTGTGGGTTTCCTCCGGGTGCTCCAGTTTCCTCCCAAAAGTCCAAAGATGTGCAGGTTAGGTGGATTGGCCATGGGAAATGCAGGGTTACAGGAAGCTCTTTGGAGGCATGGTGTGGACTTGATGGGCTGAACGGCCTGCCTCCCACACTGTAGGGATTCTATGATTCAGCCAGGTAGCTGGCTCAGATTTACACGGTGGGAATTTGCACTGTGTGGTTTCTTGGTGAGACAGAGGAGAATTGGAAGTGGTGTATAAATAAGGCAAGTTGGAACATTTACGAGGTGCGAACACATGGAAATAAAATTGTTGATCCTCGAAGGTGAGAGTCACTATTTAAGGTTTGAGGGGAAACAACAAAGGAGAGCACCTTTTGCTGTGTGCAGCTTCTAACAAGCACCTGATGCAAGATTATCTCAGCAGGATTTGAAAAAAGGTGGAGTGACATGCAAAAAAGGACAGGGGTGCAGGAGGAAAGAAATCAGGAGAACCTGGTGTGGTAAGGTGCTCGGGTAAAGTTCTCAGAACATGGAATGCAACCAGCAAAAGGCAGAATCCATGGCAGCAAGTGACTCAGAAAAAGGAGGAGCAATACCTGGCCTTTGTTACATAAAGGTAGTTACTCTCAAGAGTCAAGGTTGGGAGCCCCAGATCATAAAATTATACAGCACTGGTCACTATTCAACCCATTGTACCTAGGTAAGACCAGCTGGGGGTTGCAACCCTGGCCCCAAATCACATTAGTTAGATTGACACAACACACTGGCAGCTTTCAGGGGCATTTTCCTCATTAGTGCTGCACAAGAGTGACTAGAGTCAATTTCTTCCTTGGCACATTAGATTTTGATCTTGATATTTAAATGGAGGAGATGGCAGCATAACCTGCCAGCCGGAAAGTCACCAGGAGCTCACGTTGCCTGTGTTAGGGACAGCCTGTTGTGTTAAGTGCCAGTTGAGAACTAAACCAACCACCAGTGGACCTTCCTTAGGATCCAAGATTCCAGGCTTGGAAATCCTTCCTGCCAAGCTCAGCTGGAAAGAATTAGAGGTCAGTCACTCCACTGAGCAGCAATGCCACTGGGGGAGGCGGTGAGTATTGCTGATTACAGCAACCACCTGGGACTTTGGGCTGAGGATGAGGCAGGGCACAGGGTAATGGCGGCAGGAGGCCCTCAGGCCTCGGGGTAGAGTTAGGAACGCAACAGGATCTTAAAATACTACCCTCCCACTTGATCAGATGCCATGAAGGAGGGAGTTCAGTTCCACTAATGATCTTGGAGACTGGTCAGTACTCCCAACATGAAAAAAAAAACTGCATCGCAGTTATCCAAAGCGGATCCAATTATTGGGGGATGTACGAAAAAGGTTAAAATTACAGTTCTGGCTCTTTTCTTTTGAATCACCACTCAAACACTCTCACTCACGATTAGAAGAAGTTTCTTTAAAGAAGAAATACACACAGTCATAAGGAAAAATGACAAACTCAAATGCATTGGATTACATAAACATGATAGGAGCAAATCACTGCAGATGCTGGAATCTCCCTGACCCACTGATCTCCAGTGGGATTTTTTGTTTTCTCTGCACAAACATGCTATTTCGCTGTTCCTTAACAAATGTCCTCAATACTGACGGAAAACCACAAGGTTGGTAAAAGGATGGATACCATAGCAAAACAGCACTTCAAAAACGGCCTTGCATTAGATTTAAGCACCAAGTTAGATACTGCTTTGCAACTGATCATTTAGTGCCTTGCAACTGTTTGTTTTATTGAATCGAGGGTTAACAGCAGCCAGGGTTAGAATAGAGGACTGAGTCACCTGAAGCACAAACTTATGGAAGGGCAGACTTGGGTCTTTAGAAACCTTCCATATTATAGGAGAGAGTAAAGGACTAGGGAAGATGGATCAAGAGTTATCCAACATGGATATCCTGACAAAGAGGACTAAAAGCAAGCACTGGATGAGTTTCAGTTTCGATGCTGAGATGATGGAGGGTGGGGCACATTCTATTCCGTTTCAAAATATCCAGTCAACTGAGGTTTGAGTCCTGGTGATGAGTAGGATCATGGAGACAATCCATCACTAGTGATGTCCCAGGTAATACTGCTGCAGTGTACAGTCTGTGCGGGATTGAAGTCAATTCCCTAAGCAGCAGTAACGTCTCAGTCGACCCTTTGTTTATAAAATGCATTGCATTCAGAACACAGGCCTCGCCTCAGCTCAGCATCAAAACGACATCATGCAATGATAGGGATTTTCCTCTCTTGAGGGGGGAAAGAGAGCGAGCGAAAGGGAGAGCGCGCGAGCGAAAGGGAGAGCGCGCGAGCG